GCTAATCAATGGTTGACTCACACATGTGCTGCCACTATTATTGATACGCCGTGCTTCAATCATCAGACGCATTTGTTCATTGATGTTTTTTAAGGCAGTTACATTAAAAATATACTACATGCATTCCCAGGCCCAGCAATGCTTATTTTATGGTTCTCGACACAACTGTTTTTGTTTAGAGGGACAACATGCAAATTGTTATAATATTTTGTGCAGTCCCTGAAGATTCCACTTATGAAGCAGCTCTAATGCCAAATGTTTTTCCTTTTTCTCTATTAGTGGTCATATAAGAATACTGCCACAGCAGTAGAAAGCAATACTTCACTAACCTCCACGTTCCTGCCTCTAGCTGTTTCGTGAAGATCAGCTGGACCGAAGAAGGAAACTGGAGAAGCACATGGCCAGCTGGCGCTGTACCTTCGTGGATGCTAAAAGCAGTGCTCAGGTCGAATGAATCTGCCGGCTCAAACTGCCCAAGCACTGAGAGGGGGGAACAAACAACAAGGTGGATTAGCAGTTTTGAAAACAGATGCACAGTAGGGGAGCACAAGGGAAACCAATAAAATATATAAAAAAAGCCTGACTTTTGGTATGAGAGAGCACAGGAAAACAAAAGCACACAATGTTATCCACACATGCTGTAGCATTAAGCAATGCCAACCTGCCAATCACATCCATACATTTTCACTATTGGATGAAGATACAGCAGTTTCAAGCCCGAAAACATAATCCACAGCTGATTCACATACATTCAGCTGAAGTTATTGGTATGGTATACTTGCACTGTAAACCGCATTTGATAATTCTTAACTGGAGCTCACTATGCCAATTCTCTGCTCATAAAAGTAGAGCTATAGTTATTAGTTTGCGTAGTCAACAACTATCTGTTCTTCTTCAATCTTTAATTGATGACACAGTTCCATGTAACTGAAACAACATCTCATGTGTGTTGATGCAAAGTGATCATACCTAAGCATCTTTATGCAGCAACCAATGTTAACATCAGTAACTACAGGCACATCTAACTCCCGAGGCATGACTGACTACAATGATCGTGTGACACAGGAAAGAGTGTAGCCAGATTGCAAGGCAGCAATAGCTATTCTATTTAACAGCACTAACATGTGGGCCCTGGTGTGCTTCATCATCCTGTCCTACTCCTACAAAGTCCGTGGTCGAGTAAAATATCTCGGTTGAAAAGTTAGTGTAAGTTTTCGTTTTCATCAATTATGCTCGCTTCAGACAGTTGAGAGGAGCTTCAGGAGAAGATAGGGTTGAAGTATGTCGTAGGTAGACCTTCAATGCAGTGAATGAACAGCAGCCATTGTTGTTGGCAGTCAGAATTTGAACAATGGCTGAGCTGTGAATCTTAAGCGCCGCTTTGAGACTCATGCAATAGGCTTAAGACACCTACACTTCCTGCTGTATAAATCCCTTCCAGTTGTAATGTGGTACTCAGGAGCCTGATGGCTTAAGCACCCAATTTGATGATGTGAGAGTAATGTGCACTTTTTAACATTAAAGCCAACATCCAAGCAACAGTAAAGCAAAGAGGACAACTCCAATGATTTTCTGAAAAGCACTGATCTCAAATTTTCCATACATCTCTTCAGCTACTCTGATATGTGCCACATGAAAACAGAAAGTTGTTCAGTTTTCCTAAATATCAACTCTGAAGCTCCCAAATTACGCTTTAAAATGTGGGCAACCCTGTGTTTGCACGATACAGGCCTCCCTGAGTATTTTGTGGAGCAGGCAAAGAAACTGGGTTTTTTGTCAGTGCGACAACCAATACCAATACTACAAACTTTTAGGTTTTGCAAGCCGTACTATATTTATGTGGTTAAATGTGACTGATGAAAGCTGGCGTCTCCCCAAGGTTGAAAAAATTAAGCTGCAGAGACCAATGGTGTCTGTTATTATAAGCTGCCAGACAGCGTGGATCGAAAGAAAACAATCATATTTCAGTGAGTCAAGTTCTGAAAAGCTGGTACAGCTTTGTGCATCATGAAATTTCATTTTCCAGAACTAGCACCAGATGCACTGCCTCTACAAAACGGCGTAGGGGTGCGACAATGCTGCAGACACTGACGATATGACTGCCCACTTTAGTACATTGTTTCTTGGTTACTCAATATTGTTGATGAATTTCTAAGCAAACTGAAGAAACCTTGACATCACAATATTGCACTACCTTTTGAAAGTGGCAATATTTTAACATGACTAAAGAACACTGACATTCCATTTCAAGTGAAAAAAGGTCACTAAAGCAGTTGAGCACATGTCACTACTCTTAGCGCTTTTTCTCTGTTGCAAATTTTGAAAGAACATTCTCAGAACTTGGATACAGGAAATCAAATCTGTTATGCTAGTGTCACTGTCCATTCTTTTTCTGATCATAAAACTTATAATCATCACAGGAGGAAACTCATTGACGATGCTGAAGAACAATCAATGATTTATTTCAGAAAGCAAGCTTCTCAATAAGGAAAAAAAATCTCTATTACTGATGAGATGAGTATTTGAACAATGTATTAATCTGTGCATTTTAAAACAACCTTTTTTTTTATAAATAAATGCAACATCACGCAACTTACTACGAGTGCTAGCGAAAATTTTTTATATTCCTAAACAAACCTGGCAATGCAGAAAACACATGCTCTCACTCATCTGCACATCAACTAAAGATTAGCCTTTCACAACACTGCCTGTCTATGCAAGTTTCTGAAAGGGCACTGCAATGCTTTGAAAATGCCACGACATAAAAGGCTTGTCTATCACACTTCACCCAATGCACAATCATGAACATGCAAACAAAGCTTCGTTGATACAAGATATGTGCCAAATCACTCTTTATAATATTACTGCTTTCACTAGTTCTCTCACAGGCAATACAGATAACTTTGTATCGAACAGCTACAAATATGCTTTCAATATCAAGTTTTGTTGAAACTAAATTTAAAATATAAGCACCTTGTGGGGGGAAATAAAATGGGGTTTGCATCTCACCATTCACTTCGACTGTACATACTAATGATACAAGTGCAGTGTGCTTATCTTGCATATTCTTGCTGCTTAATTAGAATTGTCTAACCGTTTCAGGTTAGCATTCCTGTGAGCATTCCTGAACTTCAGATTTTTTTTCTGTGTTTCTAGCAATTAACAATTCAAATATACATGAGACAGACATTAAAAACAACACTTTTTTTAAAGTACACAAAGAAAAATTTAGTTGCACATGGGAAATAGCTGGCTTCACTGCAATAGTAGCACACTCCGTGCAAGACAAAAACAAAGCTACCGCATATACACAACTAAAAGTCTTGTCTTAAATGCGGGTCGACCCCTAAAAAGATGCTTAGAAAAAAAAGCAACAGAAAAAACACAAACAAAAAGAGCACGAGCACATTTTATGAAACAAAATTTATTACGTCTCCAAAATCAACGAAATTGAATTCTGGTGTGATAAGGTAGCTTCATGGCAGTGCTTTAAAGCTCCGCAGAAAAGCTAGCTTTGCAAAAATATGCAGGCATTATTTTTGTAATGACTTCACAACTGGAAATAGGTTTCAATTCTAGGTCGAGCCTCCAACTTTGGATTTCCAAAGAAGACAAAACAGCCCAACCTACAGTCATGCAAATACGGTAGGTGCAGATTGTCTTAGACAATAACGACTGCAACATTTTTTTAGGACGATCGCAGCAAGAACGTGGTTGCAGGTGTGTGAAATGGGTAAATATGGCCTGTGCAGGAAGCAAAGTGTCAAGTCGGCATAATCTTCAGCATTCTGTGCACGTTACAAAGTTCCGTGATAAATATGTTTTTTGGAAAGAAGCGGCTAGATTTCTATCATGCCGAGCTGCAAGAAACTAATGAATGCATTTATTGATGCAGTAATAATTTATGTATACAATGAATGGGATGAGAATTTATCAAATAGCAAAAGAGAAAAAAATCAGCTGAAATTTCTCTGTCCCTCTCTTCTTCATATTGGAAATTTCGTTAAATAGATTTCTTTATCACAGCGATGGCAAAATAAATAATGAAACATGGCAGACACAAAGACACACAATGAATGCAAACATTCGGTTTTGTTTAGAGTTGAATCCAGACACAAAAGAAAGTGTTCTAACAAAGCAGACAAATGAAGTGACAGAAGTATAACTGCAACTATTCAGTCCTGCGGTACTGTGATGTCCTGGAATGAATGATTACCGACATACCATCCCCGAAAAGGTTTGTGCACTCACACACAGCAAGTTGTTTAAGGACTTTTACTATTTCTGCAACTTTAGCAGCACACCAGTATAAATTTTGTGATTGGTATAACTGCTCAGTACTGCCTGAGTATTCATGTACAGTGACACAACAATAACTGCTTGTGATGTGCTGTACAATTGAAGACTAAATTGTTTGGACAAAAAATTAGGGGACCCTAAAGCTTCGCCTTTAGGAGTTGAACACAATATCCTGTTTCTAGTGCATACTTCAAACACTTAGTGCATGAAACCTTCTCGAATTTGATATGCACCCACCACGTGGCCTTAACTTGAGGGAATAGGTGCAGTAGCGTGCACATTTTACTGGCTTTCAACCACCCAGTCATGATTATCACATATTCTGATGCCCGTTGGCAATGGACGCTTGTACCACGCATTATTACTGCAATATTTCATGTTGCATTGTGAAGCATGTATACAGGACGCATGTGTTTGTGAAGCATGACAGCTACTTTCACTGCATTTCCAAGCAGAGGAAGTTTTTCCACTGCTTTCACAAAAGGAGGCGTGGCCATGGGGTAGAACATTCCCTTGTCATGCAAACAACACAAGTTTGATCCCCACTTGGACCCAAACAACCCTGGTTCGCTCTCTACTCTGCTCTAGGATTTTTTATTATTTATTTTATTTGCATCGTTCTCGATTTTTATGCCACAGACGATTTTTCGCTCACAACCAACGACACCGATGTCGACGCCAGAATTTCTGCAAAATGAGCACTTTAACGCTGTCGCGTCAAAAGGACTACCGTTGTCACATCCATCACCGAGCCTTTCTGGCTTTACGACATGCCAACTCAAAACATTTACATTAGCGGAGAATTGTTGGTCTAGAAGCTTCATCACGAGACACTTTCGCTTGCGTGTCGGAAGGTCATGTGGTCCCGCAGCACAAACTTGCGCGTGAAGCTCTTGTTGCAGATGGGGCACTGGAATGGCCGCTCTCCCGTGTGCGTCCGTCGGTGGTTCACCAGCGTGCCCTTGGCGGCAAACGCCATGGGGCACATCTCACACTTGAACGGTTTCTCGCCCGTGTGGGTGCGCATGTGGCTGGCCAAGTTGAACAGCGTGCTGCACGTTGTTGGACAAACGGGGCAGGCATGGCGCTTGCGGTTTGCATGACGCCGCATGTGACTCGTTAGGTTGAACTCTGTGCTGCAGACGATCGGGCACAACTGGCATGGCCAGCGGCGCTTCAGCGATGCCAGTGGTGGCTGTCGATGCTGCGGCTCTGACGGAGCCGTCGAGACGCTTGGAAGGCCTGCTGCACTCCAACTCAGACGGAGTTCTTCGACGATGTCATTTTGGTCAAGTGTGCCGCTACTTTCAGGGGTGATATTAGTCGGCATATGCCTGGCCCGTTCATTGCAGCCACTGCGAACGCGACTTGGCTGAGTCAACTCTTGAGAAAATGTACATGGCAGTGGACTCCAACCTGCGAAATTGAGGAAAACAAGCTTTCTGAACGATGTCATTGCTTACATCCTGATAAGCTAGACAACTGCTGCACGAAATAAGTAAAACTCGCTGCCTCAGTAAAACATAAAGGGATACAAAAACTGAACAAGAAGCACAAAAGCAGATACCTTCTGTGATAGCGGCAAGATAGAGGTGATAGATCACAAATGTGTTCAAGTATGTTTTCCAATATACTGAACAACCAAGTGACATCTTGCCAGATTTTGACCCATTCAGAGGTTGCTAAAAGAACTTTTACATAGCGGACAAATTTTTCAAGCTTTTTATAGATGCAGTTCTTACTTGTTGAAGTCATTGCACTCACTTCCATTAGATAAATTTTTTTTTAATCAACAAAAATTCACACTGAGTAAAAATGAAAATTGTTAGCACAAACAAACAAATGCCTGCCAAGCTTTGAAGGAATGCTAGTCAACTGATCAGTACCAGCTGCTACTCACTGTTTCAACAGGAAATGCCAAGGATGCCATCGTAATCTTTCACACCCTGCCACTTGCACGTACAACTAAAGAAATGGTGCACACTTAATGAAAGCCCATTACATAATCGTTACAGAAGTTTGGCCTCATTTTGTTTGTCACAAGCTCAAACTAATAATTAAATGAAAAATGTCCCCTGGCTTTACTAGTAGAGTATAACAAGTAAAACGACATGTTTGTACAACTACACGACATGCAAGAAGCTGGGGCCCCCTGCTGAATATTTACAGCAGTTTCGTTCACAAAAAGAATGTATTCTCTCAATTTCCACAGCTTGTGCATTGACAATACCACCCACATAGGTGACCAGACAGAACTGTAAAGCCAGAGGAAACAAAAGATTAAAAAGCATGGTAACAAGTGACTGTACCGTGATGGTCACTAAATGATGTTCTATTTATATGAAAAAGTATTGAATGCACAATGTGGTGTGACAGTTGTCCTAATAGCAGATATCAATGTTCTGTTTTACCTGGTCATTCAAAGTATCTTACTAAATCTTTTGGTGGCAAGAAAATAAAATGCTTCATGAATATACTTATAATAATGCAGTTTGAACAAAGCTCCAACTGGCTACCACTTCAAGCATTTATCATCATTATATAAGCAAATAATGGAACTGAAATCTACAGTAACTGTTTCATTTTTTCTTTAGGTCTATGTGAACATTCCAGTGCTTCTAATATTTTATTGAATATTGCCATATTCAAATTTGCTTTGACACAAATTTAAAATGTCTGGTATTCAAACCTATTCAAAACAACTAAACGGGTGAATTTTAACTCGTGTAAACCTCCTGAAAAGGTTGTTTTACTGCAGTTTAGGCTTGCTGTTCCGCGAGACCACTCACTCTCGGGAAATCCACACAGTCATCAAGCCACACTTCAAGGTTCAGTTTGCACACTGCCAGCAACTCAATTCCTTTGTAAAGTTTGAAAGCCTGCTATACAAGCCTACATTGGTTAAATATGACAGATTTTAAAACATGCCTTATTTTACTGCTTATAACCTGTACCATACAAAAATTAAAGTCCTTCTGCAAGTTTAATTTACTTATAGATTAATTGATATTAATTAGCATTCACTTTGACCATGCTTGAAGCCAATAGCAAGTTATATTTGCATTAGCCTGATTTTTCATTACAGCGTAGCCATAAATTTTGAAAAAAAAAAAAAAAAAACGTGACAGACTCATTTGCTGCAGGCTCAGACACAATATTTTTATGAAGGAACCATTTAAGGGAACAGGCCTTTTAGGGGCGAAGCTCCTTAAGGCGTGGGCTGTGCGTCCCCTGTATGTAGCCACCTTTCGTTTAGGTCTTGCAGTGTTCACTAGATGATAAAAAGATGCAAGCTGTTATAAACTAGACGGTGGTACTTGTAGTTGATGATGAAAGACGCGAGATGTTATAAAATAAGAATGATGCCACATATGGCACGTGTCATTGCTGGAAGGCAATCATCGATTTAGTGCGGCGACGTACGCTAGGGGGAGCGTTGTTATAAAATCGAGTGGGAAAAATGTACGGAGGATTCATGGTTTACCAGGTTTACTTCCGGAGCTTCGCCCACTCATCATCATTCACTTCGTGGATAAGGCGGCACTTTTGATAGTGAAAATCACAAATAATAAAAGGTAGCATGGCAATGCGGTACACCCAAGCTTGTATTGCCAAAGAATGAACAAACTGGTTATTTTTAGGCAGCCGGCAAGGCACCCAGCACGGCATTCCTACCTTCAAATACTTCAATTAAATAAATAGGCAAATTATAAGAGACCGTAACTGAAAAAAGAGTTTGTAAGTGCTTGTACAGGTTAAAAAAACCTCTCACAAACTTCCTTAAAACAGGCATTCTAAAACTTACCTTAGGTGTAGGCAAAGGTGATATACAGCTAACTATGCACTGCTGAGACTTGCACACTTAAAATTCAAGGCACGTGTAAGCAAAAAAAAAATGTGAACAACGAAATATTCAAAGAGCAAATGCATGCAGCATTAAATGGGAGCATTCCAATAAAAAAAAAAAATCTTGCCAATGCTCAATTTTGTTGTTGCCCAGGCTCACCTTAGAACACAGCACACACAATATTGCTATGAGCATTGAGCTAATTAACAAACAATTTGTATTAACATTTGCTCTGACCATAGCAGACGTGATACCTTCTCAGCACCATTTGAATTCGAATGGCTGGTCAACTCAAAGAACAGCACAAAAGTGGGCATCGCTTTCATTATTATAACCTGATAGAACAGGAAAGAGAAAAAATTATGTCACCAGTAGTGACTGAATATGGTTATTTTATTACAATCATCAGCAGTAATACCTGCATGCAATAAATATAAATTGCAAGAAGAATACAGCAAGGAGCTCTCAATTTTGTGAAGCTACACAAAGAGCTGACGCTAAATGGAACTTGTCACTCGGCGAAGGCTCTAAAAAAATGCCCACTTCAGAATTGACACGAGCAACAATATCATACAAGAAGAAAAAATTAAAAGAACTTGAAGTGAAATCGCAGCTGCATAATAAAACATAATATATAATTGCACTGGGCAAGTTGATATGAATCCATCTTGGTAGGAAGGGCACAACTTTTACGCGAGAACACGAGTGAAGATACAAGCGTTTAAACCTCAACTAAACGTTCATTACAAAACGTCAGAATATATATAGGAGTGAAAGAAGGAAAAAGAAAAGTAATAAGCAGAACAAACAACCAACAGGCTATGTGCCGTGCCATACATTACTCATCCATTATTGTCAATCACACCATATAAAAAACAGAAGAGCTTTGAGCAATAAGTTTTGCAATTGCAGACAGTAGGTTACCCACAAGGACTGGTTATGGGTGTGGCAGGATCACTCTATAAGGACCAAAAGAAACGAAATTGGCCGTGTAATTACACTTCCCTACAGTAGCATGAAACGACTGTTGTCCCGTATATCCATGCTGTGGTACATCATCTTAAAAAGGTTAGAAATAAGGTTGGCGTACGAGTGATTATGTCTGCTCCAGAGATACTGTCACAAACAAGTCATGAATCCTGTCCTGTTTTCAAAGGAAAGAAGGGTTGCAGAATTAAACATCTTAATGACTATGTTGACTGTGCACAATCCATTGCTTATAGAGTGCCCTTGTCTGGTGGCTGCACTTACGTTAGACAGACTGAAAGATGTATTAATAAGAGGGTAAAAGGACATCACAATAAAGTGCAAAAGGCCACTTGGCTGGTCACTTGGTTGTCTACTGTAATGAGCGTGGTTGTGTGCCGTATTTTGACAACACATGCGTTTTATATCGTGACAGGAATTTATTAACCAGTTTGATTGTTGAAGCAGCAGAATTGACATGTGATGACTCTTAGTGTGTAAGCGGAACATCTGTCTCGCTCACATAGAAACAACTCTGTTTTTGGATGGGGTGATTGATAATAATGGATGAGTAATTTATGGCACGGCACGTGAGCTGTTGATTGGTTATTCTGCCTTTTACTTTTCTTTTTCCTTCTTTCACCCCTATATATATATATTCTGACGTTTTGCAATAAACCTTGAGCTGAAGCCAAGCGCTTGGGTCTCTTCTATTTAATTCTTGTGTAAAAGTTGAGCGCTTCCTACAAAGAGTGATTAAACAGTTCCTAAAATATAGAGCAATAAAGCAGATTGACTAGAAACTCTACCTAAGCTGCTTTTGTAAATAACAATATGGTAATACACCATCTTTAAAATGTAAAACAGGCCACTTGAACAAGCGTTACATTTACTGAAAAACTGCTCTATAAATTGGTTTCAAAGAGCCCTGATCCCATTGAATAGCAGTAAAAGATAGCTAGCATCTATAACCTACACAGTTGAACTTTCACGTTCCCATTTTCAATTATCCCTTTTTTTTCTTTTTCATCTAGAAATTACATGTGATACTCTAAAATACATGCCTGAGGAAATGTTTTGTTGAAGTTGACACAGCCCATTTCTACATTATCTAGTGTTGATTAATGCCTGTTAAAGAAACGAGCTACGAGTACAACATCACAAATATCATTATGGCACTTTCAGCCTCGGAATGCATCCAGAATGCATTTTTTGTAGCATTCCACTTTGTCTACGATTTTCCTAGAATGCATTATGCCAGCCATCTCAGGATAACAGTGACATGTCATATTGCCTCTTTCACTGCTTTGTACTGAAGCTAGAACACAAAACTGTTACCCAACTTCCTTTGTTTGAATTTTCATCATACTACAGTGAACGCTTTCACCTACTTTAGGAGTACTAATATGTCCGAAACCACATGAGAAAATTCACAATTGGACAAAAATCTGTCTAAGTAAACACTAGTTGTTGCAAGTAAAACCCTGACAACAGACACACCACTCAAGCACATACAAGTGATAAATGACTCATCATTAAGCATGGTACTCTCTGACATGGGACATAAGGTATTTCAACTGACTGAACGACTCTGCACACATCGCACAATCATAAGTTTGAACTGGCACAAAACTGCAATGTGGCTGGAAGATTTCAGTTGGCGAGCGGTGCAGCGCGCCCTTTTGACACTTGGCCGACTGTCCTCCAGAAAAAAAGCGCCAATCTTCATGTAGCTTCCGACCCTCAGGAGCTGCAATGGCACCAGTCTTTTCACAGCTCTGATGTGGTTCCGATAAAATTTCAACCACTGCTCTCACCCTCGAAAAGCCACCTCGATGAAATTCCGACGCACATTTGCCAGGCTTGAAGCATCTTCTTGCAGTGTTGGCAGTGGAATGATGGCCAGAATCCGAAACTGCGCAATGCACCAAGCAGAAGGAAGTGCCCAAGACTTAGGCAAGCTGTCTCGGTTGTAAGATGGCACATGCAATGCACTTTTGTGCAGTTGTGGCACACAAATGCACATGCACATTATGCTTAAATGTGCACAACTCAATGCACACAAACCTCCAAAGTGGTCAGATTTGCCTCTGCACTTCATTTACACCGAAAAGACAATGTACTATGTCACATTTGCTTACTGCACTATGCTCTGGACTTACTTATTCCAATTATTACTATTTTAGACTCATATGTGCAAGCAATGAAAACTTCCAGGTCAATTAGAAAAAAAATAATTGTGTACGAAATATACAATTGTAGATTCAAGCCAACATAAAGACTAAAAGATGGAGAACATTATTAACATGTAACTATTATTAATGGTATAAAACTAGTTCATTGCATTCACCACATAAAAGCAATATTTCACATTAGCAGACATGTCAGACAAAAAAAAAAAAGGAGTTTTCTTAGGAACAAAGCATTAGCACCACATGTGATTGTTATAGTACATGCTAAGGGCTCTGATTCTAGCAATGAGAGATGATGCTACAGTTTTTATCCATGTAGCAAGTGTTTTGTTTATCACTGCAGCAGTGAGAAATTGAACAGCTTGAATAGATGAAAAAGGCTGGCACCACACTCGAGAGCATGAAACACTTCAAAAGAAAAAAAATGTTATAGAGTGACATCGATTGTTAAGATGAATAGCAGCATGGGTGGTAAGTGAGTGAGTTGCCGCGGGCGTGAAGACTTCGAAAATTTCCTGCTCTCATGCAGCTACCTTTTGTGCGATTACACAGTAGGTCCTTTAGATACAATGCAGAGAATGGGAGTAGAAATGCTATCAGAATATCTAGAGTGCTCTCAAACTAACTAGCATTACTTCAGGGAGTTCGGAGGCCAACAATCTTTACACAGAGAAAATGAAAAGAGCAAGAAATAGGTTGTATGTTGTTACAAGCTAAAAGAAAATATGAGCTACACCCACAAAACTGTGCTATGCCAGTCTTTCAGCATTGAAATAGAGTAGTGGTAGATAGCTTTAGCTCCTACTGCAATTACTTTTTCTTGGCTAATCTAAATGCGATGTGTATTAGGAGTTAAGAATTTGCCGTTATCATATAAAATATTATGTTTGAGCACCAGTCTTGGAATCCCCGATGAAATTTGGCAGCATCTTCTAGTTTCCAACCTAATACTAGTAAAGTAAATGTGTCTGTATGAGAAAGTCAACTAGTGTTTGAAGGACAAGAAGTGCTGGATGAAGCAAAAATGGGAAGGCCTTAGTGGATGTAGTGTGCATGCGAATTCTCTGTGGGAGGTACAGCGATGGCTGTTGGTGAAGCTGACATTTTTCCTGAAGTTGTAGCAGAGTATAATGCTACTACTGTAATATGAGCACTGAATCAACACTTAAATCTAGAAATTCTTATCAATCATGGTTGCAGTGACCAAATATTTTTAAGTCACAGCACACAGCAACAGGAA